CTGAGAAGGCATAGCTAGAGAGCAAGAGGCATTCTTTCACCCTATGTTTGGCAACACTTGAGTCAGCCGCAGAGCTTGACACATGTACAAGCACGTATCACCAGGTCTGCCTCTGAGAAGCAGAAGCCATCCCCAGAAGCCAAGTATATAAACAGAACCAGCAGGCGTCATCAAGCCAAATGTATTCTTTCGTGCCCTCGAGGATCAGATTTGTGTCTGGCAGCACTGATCATTTCTATTGCAGCAACAAGTCTAGTATTAACCTGAAGGACAGTAATTAGCTAACTACTAAGTAAATGAAAAGCATTAGCTATTAGGTACCTAATTTTGGGTTTTAAGTAGCTTACTGCCATTTAAAAAGAACCAAATCTTTTGTAGCTATGCTTTGTAGAACTGACAGGACCAGATGCTGAAACTAGTTATTTATTTGCCATAGAGAAAGCTCAGGAGGGCATTGGAGCCCTTTACAACATTTATAGCTCATTCCTCCACGCTCCCTCCTTTTAGATGAGTAACAAAAAATGCTGTCTGGTACCTTTTATCAGAGTTCCCCAAAGCCATGATGTCAACTTTCTTAAGAGGATGGAAAAAGAAAAAAGATATTTGGGAAAGCTTAGATAAATATTGTCTGTGTCTAGTTAACAGGTGCACAAGCTGTAACAATAAAAACTACTTCAGACCACAAAGCTAACAGTGTATGCTATTTAACATCCACTGCCTTCAGGACAACCATTATAAACATGATCTTCACAATCTATCAATATATTCCAATTTCCAGGTACTCCTGACAAAAAAGCAAGCATCACCTAGGTGGCATCCTTCCACAGTGACACAAAAAGGAAGGAAATCCAGAATTGGTATCACTCGTTCTCTCAGATTCCTCCCTGATATGCATGCAAGTCATTTTGTTTCTTTCTTCCAGTGTCAGAAGATATCATTGACTGCAAATAAAAAGACAAGTTCTACTTCACAGCTTCTTACCCTGCCATACAGAGTATGCAACAGCGAGTGCCCTGTCCGGTCTGCAACACAGCAGCACCTGTGGGCCTGTCCTCCTTTTCCAAACTGAAGGCTCTGTCCACCAAATGCACGTTGGTAGATTTTTCCTTCTTCTGTTCTACTGAATGGCATCCCGTAATTCTCCAGCTGTTGAACCCAAATACAAGCATCAGGAATAGTGCATAATAAACAGGAAATTACCATGTTCCTAGTAAGATATCTTTGGGAGCTACCCTGTCGTGAATGAATTGAGTTGAAATCAGTGCCAGTGAATCTTACCTCTATCACAGCAGCTGGGGCTTGCTCCGTCATGTAGTGTATGGCATCCTGGTCACCCAGCCAGTCGGAGCCTTTCACTGTGTCGTAGAAATGCCACCTCCAGTTATCGTCCTCCATGTTTCCCAGAGCTGCATTGATCCCTCCCTGAAAATGAAAACACATTTTCCTAGAACTGTATCAGTGAAGCAAAGCTTTAGTAGGTTTTCCTCATTTGTATTAGAATCTTTTACCGTTTACTGTATTGCTTGTTTGTAGAGCCATAAAGTCAGATATCACATGGTTGTAAAAAAAACTGTGCAATTTATCAATTTCACAATGGCCTGTACCTAATTATGTTTTGTATAACACAATGGCTTGCAAAGTTACAAAGAATGCAATGGAGAAGAATTGAACAGAAGCTGAAAGTACATATTTAGTTGAAACAATTTTGGAGGGCTACATAATATGTACAGTGGAAGTGTGGCCCTGGCACATCGTGTTCATGTGCATATCCAGATCTTCCAGCTCTTACGGTGCCTTTTTTTTTTTTAATTTTATTTTTTCCCACATTTGTTCTACCTCATTTCTCACCTGTGCAGCAACAGTATGAGACCTGGTGGGGAACAGCTTTGTAACGCACGCCGTGTTAAAGCCAGCCTCTGACAAACCAAATGCAGCCCGCAGGCCTGCTCCCCCCGCACCCACAACAACCGCGTCGAACTCATGGTCCACTACTGGATACTGCGTGGAAATCTAGAAAAAAACAAATCAGTTTGTTATGGTCACAACTATGCAAACTAAGCCAACCTGATGTAAACACAAGCAATGTATTTCAGCTAGACAATCTCATTACTGAACAACCCTCCACCAAAGCCAAGAAGCAGACGCAACACAGAAAGCTGTCCCTGATGGCATCTCTCTGAAGCACTGACCTGTTAGTTAAGATACAGAAAAGTATGAACATACCGAATCAGAAACCTTCGTAGAAGCGTGTTTCTTTCCATAGACTGTGAAGTGCAAGTTGCGTGCAAGAGTCTGGCACGCCGCTGGCCACTGTGGGAAGAAATCAAGACAACTGCTGTAGACCAAATGTTTCCACAAGAAAGATTTCCAGTGTTCTCAACTACTCCACCTTTACAATAACCATTTACTTGCCACTGAGTCACAAACATTGCCTCAACATATTTTACAGTTACACGTAGTGATGTTTGGGCTTTCCTTCACCCACAACGAGGAAAAACAACAGTTCTGACGGGATGAGGGACAGAGCTGCAAGTACCAGAAAGTCACAGCCTAACCATTCACTTCACTCTAACCAACCAGTCTCCCAGAGCTCTCTGAGGCTGCACTGGCAGAAGTTTGTTTGCAACTCGTACCCTACATTATTCCACTCTTCTCATGTAAGCAAGGATGAAGACAACTTTTCAAGAACCACAGGAAAAATACCTGTCTTAGGTCAAAAAATGCTCAGAATTTGATTTCAGGTGCTTAAGAATAGAGAAGAATTAAAAAAGAAAAAAAGGTGGGGAATGCTGTTCCGTATCATCATTGCTTCAAAAGGCAGATATATTTTTCTTGCTTTCATTCTCTATTAAGTAGTAGGCAATGTAGAACAATTTATTCTCTTCTGATTGAAGCACCGGGACACTGTTTTCTGTTTCTGTAGGGTTATTCTCTCTCCCCAAAGACAGAAAAAACACCTACACCTACCCAATATCCAGTCCTGGTTTTGATAGGTTAAAACAACCGGAGTGTTAGTCTCCACAGTACAAATCAGCAATTTCTTGGAATTTAGTATTCCTTCTCTACACTATTCAGAAAAATGCATCTAATTGAGCATGCACTGATTGATTAGAACAGCAGGACAGTCATACCAATGACCTGCACAGTGATATCATCACTCCTCCATTTGAAATACCACTCTGTCACATTTTTGGATTGTATTTGTCTTTTCCAGCAACTGTTATAGCCATGGTTTAATCACCTTACAACATGCTAACAAGCCGGGCTTGTCTGGAACTTCCCAATACCCTGCCCCTACGTTACCCTTTCCTTGATCTAGATTTGTCATCTCCCATAGTTTCTTCAAAATTATCTTCTTGCACAACATCGAATCTGATGCGTCATCATACTTGCTAACACACTTCTTCTGTTTTATTTTATTTTATTTTTTTTTTTTTTTAAACAGACGAAAAATTTAGGTAAGATCATTACAGAAGATCAGTATTAAAACTATTTCCAAGGAATTCTGCTAGCACCCCCTTCTCAGCAGGGATTCCCCTCCCTTCTCCCTTGCTCTTATCACACCCTGGGGCAATTCCATGTCCATCTTACTCCCCATGTTAAGTCACCTTCATTAACACTGCATGAACAGCATTGGATTAAGCAATCTGCTGGCAGTCAGATGAAACAGAAGTACCAAATGTAATTTATCTGCAAGGCAACTCTCTCAACCATTTCACATCACGCTAAAATAGGGTGTCCTCCATATAGAGAAAGTGCTTTCAAAGAAAGCGTGAGATCAGCTGAGGTTTAGACTACCACAACTCCAACTGACACGATGGGCTACAAGATTTGGCAGCCATGCGTTCCCTACAATATACCACTGCTGCTGCTTGTTTCTGAAACATCCCAATGGTAGCACAGCTCCTGTTACTGCCATAAGTTATTTCTTGGGGGTGAACAACACACTTGGTTAGTTAGCAATGGAAATGCTGTGTGTAAAGACAGCACGCAAACAACAGGTTTGTGCATGCTTAGCGCCGCTTAGAGAAAGCATAAACTGCGGTTATGCCCTAAAGCATGGAAAGGAGCTGGCCTACTTTTCCTGAGTAAACAAAGCAAACAGCCTGCTACAATAATACCCAGGGAGCGTTCTGCCACAACGCTTTGCACTTAATTTTGTTTTTTAAAGGAAAATGTTTGTTTTCTGAAGTTGCTGTACCACGCTTCCGCGGCCCTATTGGTCAAGTTTTGAAAGACGTGTTTCAGCAGAGGATTCTGGAAACATATATATAATAAATAAATAAATATATATATATAAAAGAAAAAACACACATTTCTAGTGGATTCTTGTCCATATATTGGCTTTTGCTAAGGAGAAGCTTTAAAAAGAATAAAAGACGCTCTTCCAGCCTTCCTATCTAGGACAGGGCCGGCTGCAGCCCTGCTCGCAGCTCTCATTTCTCCATTTCTCGTCAAGGATCCGTGCCCCTCCCGCTGCCCCAACGGCTCCCGGCCCCCGCAGGCCCCTCAAGGGCGGCCCCGGGGGAGCTCGCTGAGGGCTCCCGGCCCCGGGGCTGACCCGTCAAGGTCACGGAGCGGCCCTCGGGGCGGCAGGGCCGGAAGGGGCCGGGAGGGGAGGGCCGGGCCCGGACTCACCGCCCTCGCCGCCGGCCGCAGCCACCGCCTGGCGCAGCCCCGCGCCGCCACCACCGCCGCCGCCATTTCGCAGGGAGCCCGCAGCGCGCATGCGCGGGGCCGCCGCTGCCACCGGCGCCGTTATCCGGTGAGGGCCCCGGAGGGAGAAACCAAGTGTGTTTGTGGGGGGGTAAGAAACGGGGAAACGTGGGTGTTAGCGGGTCCGCAGTGCGGAGTCACCCCAAACCTTCCTCCCCATACACGCAATGAGAGAGAGCAGGGATGCAGCCAGGCTTGAGGCAGAATTCTGGGCTGGAGCGAGTAATTTCGCTGCTCCCCCCTTGGCGTCCCCCCCCCGTGCTTCAAATGGGACAGCCGAGAGGGGCGGGGCCGGCAGCTCAGGGGACAGCAGCGGCTTCCCCGGGCGCTGCGCCGGCGGCGGCCCGAAGGCGTCCGGAAACACCCGAAGGGGCCCGAGGGCACCCCGAGGGGGCCCGAAGACACCCGAGGGCACCCCGAAGTCACCCGAGGGTACTCCGAAGGTGCCCGAAGAGTCCCGAAGGCAGCCCGAAGACAGCCGAGGGCACCCGAAGTGTGCCGAGGGCGCTGAGGCGTCCGTTAGGCGCTGCCTCAGGGCGCGGTGCGGGCCGGCGGCAGGGCGCCCCCATGAACAACCTGAACGAGCCCCCCGGCTGGAACATCCTGCCCAACCGCCGGGAGCCCGGCGAGGAGGGCGGGCGGTGGAACTACGCCCTGCTGGTGCCCATGCTGGGCCTGGCGGCCTTCCGTGAGTAGCGCCGGGTGCGGGCAGCCGGCCGCCATCAGGGCCCTGAGCCGGCTGGGAAAGGGGGAGGAAAAACCCGCTTGGGCCACTAAGTTACTTCATCAGGGGCAAAATTAAGCATCCGTAGCCGTTCTGCAGGTTGCTCTAACCCCACTCGTACGTTTCAGGTTGGATCTGGACCAGAGAATGTCAGAAGGAAATAGAGAAGGAAAAGAACGAGTATTACAGAAAGCATTCGTCTCTGCAGAAGGACCTGGAGGCCAAGTACCGGGATACCATCACGGAAAGCCGCCGCGCGGTTGCTCACCTGGAGCTGGAGCTTGAAAAGGAGCGCAACAGGACCCTGAGCTACCGTGAAGCCCTCGTGTCCCAGAGCCGCAAGCTAGTGGAAGAGAGGAGAAGCCTAGAGCAGGAGCAGGAGAAGCTGGAGAGGGAAAAACAAGTTCTTCTGCGCTCGGGAGCAGCGGGTAACTTGTACCAAAGCTGCCTGGCAAAGGAAGAAGAATGGCAAAAGAAAGCCAACGCTTTGCTAAAAGAATTTGAAGATGGACTGAAAGAAAGACAGGAGATCTACTGCAGTCTTGTGGTACCCAGAAGCCAGAGACTAGAAATAGAGAAAAATTTGCTAGTTAAAGCGGCAACTGATCCTGTTGCTCTGGATCTACATATGGAAAGTGGCTTAAAAGATATTTTCAAACATGACAACTACTGTGGCAACCTGCTGAACAGAAGCAGAAGTCAAAACGGAAGACTTATGTGGCTGTATTTGAGATATTGGGAACTAGCTATTGAACTGCAAAAGTTCAAGAGGGTAGAAAAAGCAATGTTAGGAAAACGATAGGGGGAGTAATGGTGTTTCATGTGGTCTGCTGTGAAGAGTAGGGACAATCACAGTCGTAGTCCGAAGCTGTTACGTTTTCGTTCTGTGTTTCAATTTCTACTCTTCACTGCATTTGTATTTGCATGGGATGTGCAGTGTTGGTGCCTTTCCTTTCACTAACAGCAGATGCTCCAGCGAGCTGTGCATGCTCTAAAACTCTGTGTGTTTGTCTTGCAGACTGCAGTGTGCTCCAGAGATATGCAAGCTTCCATAGGGATCAGAAGGAGCTAAACAAAAGTCACTTCAGAGTAATTAACCAAGTTGGAGGTTGTACTCTATCAACAGAAAAGTGAGATTCGTCTCCACTATGTGGGCTGCACGCTGTGCTCCGTATGCATGCGTTGCGTGCTGCCTCAGCGCTGTCTTCTTTAAGCAAGACTGATTTTGAGCCAGGTCTTTGGAAGAGACCATGATTGAGCAAGATGCTTGTCACATAAACCGTATGCGTATATACATACATTTATACAAATATATATGTGTGTGTGTGCGCATATGTATCTGTGTGTATGTATATATATCAAAAATGTATGTATTAGCACTCTGAGGGGGGAATAGTGTGATAATGCTTCAGGTTAATCGGTCTTTCATCATCTTCCAAGCTTAAAATACAAATAGGACTTTATGGATGAAACATCCAAACGATGCTACCTAAAATAACACTTAAACAAACAGATTGAGAGGAACCTCACTGGAGCTAGGGAGACGTGTTTGAATATTAAAATAATATATAAACTTGAAGTTGTATCCTCATAATACAGTAGAAATGTTGACAATGCTTACGTTTTTCTCTCAGTTAAGGTTTCGGTGATAACCTAACAGTGTGCCTCTATTATGCACATCACCATGCTGCTGCCTCTGCATCCCAGTGCACTTAGGGTACGTGTTCAGCTTCCAGGAACCTCCGTAGTCACTGCGCCTGGCTCTGTTGCTTGTTCAGGCTCTGATTGTTGTGCTCAGAAGGGTGGCAGCCACCCTTCTCCCCTGACCACCTCTGTTCTCCCAGACCCAAAGTACACTTTTCCACAACTCTGAAATTTTGAGCTTACAGTTCACCCCTTCACATACCTATGACCGTGGAAATCCTACAGATGTACAAGTTCTGTAAAGACTTAAGGAGAGCTTTTTCCTCTAATTGCCACAATAAACATATCTAGATATAAAAAATAAATACCCCAGAGGGTTTCCATGCGTGAAATCCCTTAAATCTTTGGCTCCTTGTAGAGCATAGGAACCACCTTCAGTTTCAAAAGTGCCATGTGCTTTGGAGTGGAAGTCTTTTTCCTTCTCCTTTCTAATCTAGCCTTAGACCCCAAAGGGAAAACCGTTACCCTTTTGTCTATAATGTGGTATAAATTTTAGTTAGCATTTCTTTATTAACTGAGGGATAGACTTGCCAAACATGTTTGCTCTGGGCCATCAGCTATTGCATGGCCCAGAAACAATCCAGCTTGGTGGATGCCCATCCAAGTTTAACAGAGAACTCTAGCAGATGTGGACATTAAACAAAATTCTTAAACATGTTTGTTTCCAAAATGCTCGGTTTTCCATCTGTTATTTTGCTCACCTTGTTGGTGCCGATTGTGTTGTAGTGAATTATTAACCTCTTATGGACTGGTTTTTATTTTTAAATAAAGTTTAAGTGGACAACATGGAGGGGAAAAAAAAAAAAAGAGATACTACCACAGACACCAGAAAGGCCAAAGGTTATCTGGATGCCAAGTTTATGCAGGTTCAGCCATGAGAACGTGATTGAGTTAGTGTTGGTGTGACAACCTCAGCCAAGCGGCTCTAGCTGGCCATATCCACATGCCCTAATTGCCCAGTAGAACAAATAATTTAGAACAACTTAACTCGTGTGCCGTTCCTTCAGGATGTGGAAAGTGTCTGCCTGCCCAGCCGCAGTGCATTTCATATGGACATGCAAGCAGTTACAGCAACTCAGATGAACAGTTGTAGATAGTGAATCAAAGCCAATATGTTCAAGACTCATGCCTCATCTTTGTGCATCTTCACTCATTCTTAACACTAAATGAAGAAACATCCTATGCTTTTTTTCAGTTTTTCGTAGTTTTATGTCCCTGACATCAAAATATTTAAAGAAAACGTAATCAGGAAGTAAAATACTTTTCAGTATAAATAAATGATTGGAAGCATCACGTGCTTGATTGTATGTGGTTGGATGCAAAGGAATAAATACAATCACTTCTTTAGAAGTGTCGACTATTTGCACAGCTGATTGTTGAACTATTGTTCATGGACACTTTGCGGATCAGTGTATTAAGATCAAGGAGTTTTTCTGAGGAGGATTTTTGAAAGCATGAAACTGGTTTAGAAGCACCAGTCCTATTAGTTTCTACCAAAACTCCTGTTTCTTAGTGTGTTACATATTTTTGAAATAGTCCCCTTTTGTAAGTTATTATGTTGAAAGTTCTATTATGAGCTTGATCTTGCCCTACAGCTGTTCCGGATTACTGATTTGTTTGAAAATGTCTGTATGTAGAATGAAGGAATGATTTGTTTTCAAAATATTTAATGAAGGAATGAAGTGTTTTGTTGGTTGGTGTTTGTTTTTTTGTTTGTTTGTTTTGTTATGGAAATACAAACTCACCTGTTAAACAAACAATAAAAATAATGAAAACCCTTACATCTCTCTGCACTGTTGTGTTACTTGGGCGAGGTGGATGGGAGGAATGGAATTTTACACCGACTTCCTAAACACTGTTAATATCACCTCAGATTAAAATTACCACACTTATTCAAATCTTGAGTTTGGGGGTTCTTTTTGATGCATCTATTGTCTAGGTGGTTCTCACATTTGTGGGTCACAGCCTCTCAAACAATATTCTGGTTGGAAGAAGTGTGCCTGAAATTGAGGTCTGCAGGTTCTTTTTGAAAAAGAAAATTGTCATTCAATAAACAATACACAATTGTCATTCACAGCTCTGAAGGTTTCCACGATGCCAAGGCTCACGTAGCTGGGGAACCCTGCAGATGTGAAGGGTGCGAGGGCTAGATTGTAGCATTAGGAGGACGGGCTGCTAAAGAACGGTCACCTTTCAGCATGTACATGTGAAAAGTCTGCTGTACAGCAGCACTGATGGTGGAGATGTACAGGTCACCCAAGTGGCAAGCTTCATTGCAAATAGACAAGCACAGTCCTAGCATGTAGCCCTACTCGCAAGGTACTGCTATCTGAGAAATTACAATGTAAGGAGTTGTGCAAGGTGACTAATTACAGACAGATTATGGATGGCCACCAGAAAAAGTAAAAAGAGAAAACATTGCTGGTAAAGTAGCCCAGAAAGTGCTCTCTGCTTTATGTACTACTAATGGGAACAGACAAAAATGTGAAAGTAAATGCTACCTACCAAAACAGAGTCCAAGGAAGAGACTATTTCTTCACTTTTCTCTTTACAACTGCTCCTGCAGGTTTGCATTTCTTAGACACCTCACTTCCAAACTTAACACATTACAAAATCTTCAGCTAGTTTCACATTACTGTATGCTGCCCCCTCTTGTGGCTAATCGCTCTGCTTGCCAGCAGCCTAAGCAGCACCGTTCTGTTTTTGTGATTGGACCATAGTAATAATAAGAAGAAAGACAAAAAGCAATGTGCTTTTCAGCGACCAAGAGAGAATGAACTTACCTGCAGCAAACTGGGCCTTGTGGTGGACCTCTATGCAGAGATAACATGCAGGACTGGGTCGTGGTTCAGCAACATATCAGCATCTCATTATATACCACAGCACTGGAAAAGGAAACAGTAACAACCTTAATTAAAGAATGCTTTCCATTGCTTCATGAACATAGCAAGCAACAACCTCCAACCGTAAAACATGTTTTGTTGCTTGCTAGAGGAGAGATGCCCTGAAGCCCAGTGTCAACAAGAGCAAAACAAAGAAGGAAGATGATGCTGGAACTGAGTTTACTCCAGTAAAATGTTTATATACAAAGCTGAAGCCAGTGTCACACAAACCACAAGTATATACAAAATACAGATGATGCCTATTTGTAGAAAAGAGGAGGAAAAGCACCACATGGGAAAGAGTGACAGGTCTGTTCTGAACGAACTACAGCAGACATGATGTTCACAGCTTGTTCCATTTAATTCTTCTGTGGCTATTGTGTTACTTCCACAATAAACATGGCAATTTTTAGGCATGTCAGATTACTGAAGGAAACTCCCTGACACCATAAAAGCATTCCTGAATGGGTTGTTCACAGAAGTCATAGTATATGGCACCCTACCTCTGTTGTGTTCCCAATAGCCTAAAACAGAGTAGAGTAACAGCTCAGTGCTGTTCTGTTTCTCCTCTGTGGTGGCACAGAATGACTTCTTGGGAGCATCCAGAAAAGTTTACAATAGCATAGGAAGAGATTTAGCCTCCAAAGTTTATTGGGCTTCTTGTATCCCTACTTGAATTGCTGTGGCAGTGATGATGGCAGCCTGGCAGCACACACACGGGAAATAAATCATGCCAGCTGAGGAGCTGTGCCTTTGGCTATTTATCAGGTAGAGTTAGAGAACAACAGAGCATAAAACCTAGACCAAGTTAAAGATCTGCAGAATATTTCCTGATATGGTAGAATCTATAACCACTTGCTGTTGAATATTAGCCCTAAAACTAAATGACTGAAATATTTCGTCTGTGTATCTATTGAACTGGTAGGATCATTGGAGTCTCCTGGGCTGGGAATTTTGAGTACCCTCCTGAACATGGGGCTCAGTGCTCCTTCTTCGTGTAGCTGTTCAAGGATTTTGCCCATTGTTAACTCACATAAGGATTTCTTGTTTTCTCTGTGTATCATACGAGAAGGTCCAAGCAGACTATCAGAGACAGCATTTTGTTTGAACAATGTTCATCTTCACTTTTGTTACATCTTCCCCACTTCACTCTTCCATGTAAGAATCCTGTGCTTCAGGCACCCTGCTGGAGAGTTACCACTCTCTTTACATTTCCATCTTTTCCTGTTTGAGGCTCACCACACAACCTTTGCTTTGCACAGTCTTCTTCTTCATCACCCTCAATAGCTGATTCAGGCTGCTTTTTGCCTCAGGTGATAGCAGCAGGAGGAACAGGAGGAGCAGATACTAAGCCACTATGCCTTGGCTTTCATTTCAGATGATGCTTGTCACCACCAGATTACCTACATGTGGAGAGAAGCACTTTACAGATGATGTTTCTCCACTTTGAGGGCTGCTCTGCAGAAGGGGCATGATGTTGCTCTGAAAGGCATACAGCAAATCTGACACGAGCATGTTCAAAAGTAAAAACAGCTGCAAAAATATTACCACATAGAAAGGTTAAATTGACATCTCTTTCTCAGCTATATTCTTCAAAAATTGTTGAATTTTTAGCAAAGTTAAAATAAATCCATCTGAAGAAAACAAATATTGTGAGGGAATGAAATAGAAGTATTTTACAATTCTCTAGTTACAATCTTTGGCTCAGTGAGAATGCTAGTGAAGTCTGAATATGCAATAGCTAATGTTACGTGCATTTTATGCAACAGGAAATAGTTGAGGACTTCTGAAAATATTGATAATAATTTACCTCTGAAAAGATGGAAGGAGGTAGTAAGTGAGGAATCTACCAATGTCTTGACTGTTTCTAACACAGTCTTCTCTGTCTTAGTGTAGGAAAAAGATATTATGTACAACTTTTTTTTTTTTTTTTTCCCTACAGGAAATTTGCATAGTATCCCAATGATGCCACATATTTTGTTATGCCGGGGTGAGAGAGGGAGTACCAGCTAGACAGGGTAGAGTAAAATGAAGGAAAGGATGTAGTGTTGTCACCTCTGCTGGTGTCTGGAAATCATTTCACCCAGGTGCACTGGCAAACTGGTCAATGTGGGAATGTGGAAGTAGGGAGCTTGTTTATTCTGCTGTAAGAACAGCAGAATAACAAAAGCACATACAGAGATATGTGCTTGTCATACTAGCAGACAAATTCTTCACCTCTTTACAGGCATCTGCAAACCTTTATATTCATTCCATGAGAAGTATAGATGCATCTGACCAAGGGTCAAATGACCAAAACTATACAAAGAGTAATTGTGATTACTGTATATGTTGCTTTGAGAAGTACAAGCTGACTGAAAAAAAAGTTTAATTAACTCTGGTGAGATATTGCTATAGAATCACTAGAGTAAGATTTTATACCAGTATTTGCTACAGTAATAAAAAGGATCAGAAAAATGAATTCTAACAGCATGGGATGTTGTAAAGCACGATTAGAGAATAAACTTGGTGTTTATGATTAATTGCCTTTAGCTGCAAAGCTCTATAAACATCAGTCTCAAAATATTTGCAGTTATAGACTCATCCTGTGTCATACCAGGAGTATTAGAATTGCAAAGAAATAAACAAACTGTATTTCACTGTATTTTACTGTATTCCATGAAACTATGACTAGATGCAAGCCTCTTAAATTGCTTCTGCTCTCTGCTCTCAGTGGCTTTGAAGTAAAGGAATGTGTTTTTTTGTTTTGTGTGTTGTTGTTTTTTGTTTGTTTTTATTTTTTTATTTGCTTATTTGTTTGTTTGTTTTTCCTGGAAAGAACATACCTGTCCTGTCATTCCGGTTGCTCCTTGTCCTCCCCTTCAGAGCATCCAGTCAGCAGAGGTTCCCCTGTGCCCTGGCTGGAGGGCAGAAGGCAGGTGCTTCAGCCAGATGCTTCAGTCAGTCAATTCAATTAATTCACAGAAAATACAACAATGTCCTTCTCTCTGTGGGATGCTTTTCTGCAGGTTTAGAGAGCTTTGCTGGCCCAGGAGCGCCAACACCAAGAGAACCAAGTAAGGCCAGAAGCAGGAGAAGCTGTTGGGTGGCTGACCTGGGAGAGGGTATCAGGCCCCACCTGCACCTCAGGGGGCAGGGCAAGGAAGGTTTTCCTCCCTCTTTTCCATGGCAGTAAAACTATCTGTGTCACTCAAGCCAGGCCTGCTGAAAAAAGCCCTCTGCCTCAACCAGAAGTGCTTCCACCTCATGTTTGCACCTGCCCACGCCAGGCCACCACAGGAGACGGACCTGCTGGGGGCTGCCAAAGCCAGGAGCCCCTCACGCCGTGCACAGACCTGGCCCACAGAGGGAAGCAGGAGGCTTCCTCCTTGCTCTTGTCTTCATTTGCATCTCTGGTATCCTTCTGCCGTAGCTGCTTTCCCCTTCCATTGCCACATCTCTTTCTGAATGTCTTCGTTGTCCTGACAGATGAAAGACATCTTCAGCTAAGAATACTATACATATAATCTTCCACAAATATATATATGTGTATATGTTCCAATAACATACATGACCTCTAGAAAGGGACATTTCCTTTTCAATCACATTAACTTGTGAAAAATTGGTATGTTGAAAATGTGGGTGTAGCAGACAAAAAGCCAATGTGTGATTAGAAACAGTTAATCACAAATAATCCGATCGAAAGGTAAGATCCATTTTCTCCTGCATTTGTAATTAGCTGTTGGCAGAACATGTCTCATTTGTCAGCTTCTATTGCAAAAAGATTGATTTCCTACGGTTTACTGGCCATAACAAACCCTGTGGAACTAAGCCTAGCATAACTTGAAGAAGTTTATCACAGAACAAACGAAAGGGCCCGGTGATAGCATGTCAC